ACATGCACACACACACACACACACACACACACACACACACACACACACACACACGAGTATGTGCACACACATGCACACACTCAATAAGTAAATAAATGAGATACTCCAGGCAAGTGCCTTACCCTAGTCTCTGATGTGTGAAAGTACCTGCCGTCACCAGCAGCATCGCTGTCTACAGACTCACAACTTGTGAGAAGGCAGGGATCACATGCCAGTCTGTGTCACAGCTCCACACTCACTCACTGGCAGAGGAAGACTGGGCAAACTGGGTCTGTGAACCACACTCAGGCCAGGCTTCCAGAAGCCTCCTCCTTGCAGGAATAAGGGTGGGTATATAGTCTCCCGTCTTCCTTCTCCACCAAGAGCCAATGGCTTCCTCCCACCCAGGTTACACTGCGCTCAATAAACAACAAAGAAGGAGGAAGAATAAACAGCCAAGCCTAAGCTGCTGGGAGATCTCAGTCTCTCCTGGTGGGTGGGGCCTCTAAGAAGGGTGATGTGAGCATCCATGCCTCCATGTGGGGATCCGGGAGGCGCTGGTAACATTAAATGCCGATTACTCTTGGGGCATGCAATTGCTGTGCTGTGGTAACCCACCCCCTGAAGCGCCTGATTGCTTAAGCATCTCTTTGAAAATGTTTATTTTTTCCCCATGAATCTTTAATCAGGTACCTTGACGAAGCACACAGCAGCCATCTTCAGAGAACTGCTGGAGATGGCTTCATCAGTCCTATTTGTCACATAGGGTGGCTGGGAGTGTGGCCACCGCCTCTGCATGGTCTGTGTGCCTGCGCCCCCCCCCCACACACACAAAGACCTCTATACCACTGCACCAAACCAGGGTGCCCAACTCCCCCAGATGGCCAAGAGTCTCAAAGTGATTCCAGATGTTGCTATCTGGTGGTATAAAGGGGCCCTTGTTTTTCTTGGCACACCACCTGTAGATCCTGGTCTCCGTGTGAGAAGAGTGGACGGTGCCCAGCACAGCCTCTCCAATCTCACACCTAAGCCGAGGGAACCTTTGCTCACTTGAAATGCTGAAGTGGATTTTTATCCTCCTTCCTGGACACCTTCCTGTTTTCTTTCTTGATCCCAATACCATCTACATAAGCAGGAAGCGAGGAGCCCGGCCCTTGGCTTGTCTCACCCCACTTCTGGCCGAATATATTCCCTGAGGGACTTGTACATTTAACCTGATAGAGGCAGGAGGATGGAGTGGGGGGTCCTCTGGACCTCCTAACTGAGGGGGAGCTGCTCCCCGTTTCTCAACCCCCACCCCCACAACTCACTCCCAGCAAGCTCTGCTTCAGGCAGCCTCCTGACTTCCACTTCCCCTTCACTTATCCCCGGCCTCCTGGGATTATGGGGAAAGCCATTACCTCAGGATTAAGCTTCAGTTTGATTCTCATCAAAGACTCTGGTCACCGAGTATTTGCTTAACACCAGACCTTTCAGGCCCCATCAAATTTAACAAGGCCTGACAGATTTGGGATTAAACAGAGAAACCCACACAAATCCATACTTTCATAGCCCCCCCCCGCCCCCCGTGACTGTAGCAGGACAATCAGGGTTCTAAAGAAGCAGGCTCTACCGTTAGTGCCTGCATCGTGTCACCACCATGACAGCCCCGCTCCGCAGCTGCCAGCCCTGACCTCTGCCCAGCTCCCCACACTGGATTGCATCTTTTTTACTCTAGTGAGCGAGGAGGCTCCGCTCATATGTGTGTAGCGCAGCCTTGCTGAGGGCTGGGAAAGCGGGGGCGTTAGGGGTGAGGGTGGAACTCCAGGAGCAGACATCGCGGTGCAGTGTGGAAGGAGTCCACCCCTCTGAGCTCCTAAGGCTGTTTCGAGCTCAGCCTTGCACTGTGATCAAAGCTACTTGGCTCCCTCCGGAACTTCACTCCAGGTGGAATTTCACCGATCGCATCCCTTGCGTAGCAGGCAGATCCAGCACAGCCAGGCAAACTCATCTCAGGAACCGCTTTGCTGGGCATGTCGTTGACGAGAAAGCACACATCGGTGGACAGCTCAGGAGCTACAATTAGTGTCAAATCTGACGTTGGAGTGGAGTTAGCTCTCTGACGCTCACCTTCCTGGTCTGTCATATGGGAGTATTGGGTTATTACCTCAGAAAGATGTCAGACCGTGAGAATAGCCACACGCAATTAATTTCCCAATTGCTTTCTTAGGTGCACATGTGCCTGAGTGTAGTGCCTCCCTAGGCCAGAAGAGGGCATCAGATCCCCTGGCGCTAGAGTTACTGGCCCTTAGAGGCCTCCTGGTGTGGGTGCTGGGAACTGAACTCCGGCCCCCTGCTGGAGCGTGTACCGCGCACAGTGAGCCACTGAGTCTTCTCTCCAGCCTTCAACTCGTTTCTTTCCTCTTTCCTAGTTGTTCATGCAATCTGATTCATTTTAAAACTGCAATAAAACATCTCTACCTCATTCTCTCGAATTTCATGTTTCTACCTGAGCCAGTACAAGGTACCCTTTCCCTTCTGAGCCCCTAAAAAGCCACAGAGCTCCACGAAAATCACATACAACAAACTAGAAGTAGCAATTGTTGCGTTTCTCTGGGGCCGGCCGCTTGATTTCTCTTAGGCTGTCTGCCCAGTTCACTTTGGCCTTGCCTGGCTGATAATTTACACCACTGCCTTTCCACCCCAAGAGCCTGGCTTAGGCTCAAACTTCATCTCTCGAGATGGGAGACTTGGAGGAGGGGGTGCCAGGGAGGCTCCACTTTGACTTCATTGCGATAACAAAGAGGAAACAATGGCTTGTGTTTACTGAAAATTAATTTTTTGGAAATTACTTTGTCATTTGTTTTACTCTTCTTAATTAAAATTTACTTGGTGAAGAGAACACCCCATAAATTAACTCAAATGCAACAGCAAATTAATTAGCATTTAGTGACTAGACATTACTCACAGACCGGACAAATTGTTTTCAAGCTATCGCCTGCATTTGGTGAAGTGAGATGGGGTGGGGGGAGGGTCTGAGTGCTGAGTGAGGGCGTTTTGGGCCGGTGCTCCCCCAGATTGTCCTGGCCCATGACCCCCGGTCACCTGCACTTCTAGACACTCCTGTCATCCTGACCCAGTCCTGTGTGTGTATCTTCCTAGAGATCTCTGTCTCCCTCCCTGGAAACAATTGGAAAGAACGACACCAGGCCAGCAGACGCGTATTGGAGGCAGTCTCGCCCAGAGGCAGGAAATAGACATGGAGCTTTCAGGAGGCTCCTTTCAACCAAAGGGAGCTCAGATCCCATGAAACCCGGGCTTGGAGAAATCAATGCTGAGTGTGTTCTATTCTTAAGTTGTGTGACAGATTCTTTGTGGACCCAAGGAAGGGCTTCCCAGAGGAGAAGACTGAAATGATGGAGGAAAGTAAGCCCAAGGAACAAACTTGGACGAGCTGCTTCTACTGAGAGCCGACTGTATTTCTTATGAAAGAGGCTGAGAGGCATGGGGTACTGTGGCTGGGCGCCAAGAGTTGAATCCTAGCACATCTTACTGACCCCTGGCCAGAGCAAGTCATGTACCCCGTCTCGGCCTTAGTTCCTTCAGACACCGATGGTTCTGATGACCTGGGGCTGTGTTGAGAACTGAGTTAGACACAGCTTGGAAGTCCCAGGAGTGGAGCCCTGCAGGTGTCGAGGACCCAGAGGATGCTGAAGGTGGCTGAGTGTGCAGCTCCAGAACCAGAGGTCAGGCCTCGAAGCCCAGCCTGGTCACTTACTAGTATCGGAACTTCTCAGTGCCTCAGTTTCCTGTTTGGCAGGGTAGAGACAGAAGGAGGTTCTTGCCTCTAGGAGTAGATGGCTTTAACATATGCAGAGTGCTTAGATTGGAAGTTAGTGCCAAGCCTGTAATGAATGGCCACTGAGTGGCTTCTTATTGGTGTTTCTCTCAATACTAGTCATTTCCATCCTTCTGACATTGTGACTGGGTCTGAGGGATGGAAGCAGAGGCTCAAAATGAGGCTAATTCCTCGTCCTGAGAAGGGGGGCTAGCCATCTAGGGTCAGTGTCAGCTCTTACAGAAGACTCGTCCCCACAACACACTAGCTCCGCTCACAAGCAGGGGACTCGGCCCAGGCTGACAGCCAGAGAAGAGCACCACTTCCATGTGCAGCCTGATTCCTCCTGCCTGCATGGAGCTCAGCCCCAGAGATTCCCCTCCCTTTCTGACAGCCTGAATCGGGACAGCCTGAAATGGGCATTCCACGATAAACACTGATGTATTGGCAGGTCCTCTGGCAAACGGCTTCAGGGCAGACTCGCTGAGAAGGGAAGACGGGAAGTTACCAGAGCCTGGGATCAGAACAGGAAGCGGCCCCCAGGCTGACCTGTGCTGGATGTATGCAGCTAAAGGCCAGCCAGAGCAGAGAAGTGGCTTTGCAAGGTCCCATGTTAGCGCAGGTGCTCAGGGGATGCCTCCCTCCTGTGATCCCAGCACTTTGGAAGCTGAGGCTGAGTGGTCTCAAGTTCGAGGCCACCTTGGGCCCTCCTAAAATAGAGATGTTTACAGTATCCAACTCCTCAGAGGATTATAGGAGCTAGACAGTGCTTATGCAATCCAACATCTTTAATGGAGGAAGCAGGATATAAACATCTCTTGTCAGCATGAAAAGTCCAATTCCTTCCACAAATATGTGGCATTCTCTTCCTTAGCCTATTTTTATAGTGCACTTAGTGTGTGGGAGACACTGTGTTCAGTGCTGAGGGCCCCCAAACATGAGAGACAGTCCTGACATTCAGGAAGGAGCACCTACTACATAGTGGGGTATGTTTGAGCATATTTCTGTATCAGTGGGGCCCCCATCAACATCTCACGCTGTTTCTTATTTATTTCTTTTAACAACAGTAATTACTTTTGGAGACATGGCCTCACTATGTAGCTCTGGCTGGCCTCACAGAGATCTGTCTGCCTCTGCTCCCCAAGTACTGGTATTAAAGGCAATGAAGCAAATATTCTGGAGCTCTCAGAATGTGTTAGGTGCTGTGAGAGGCACATGTAGAGTAGAGTATGCAGTCTAAATATAGGATTTGTTTTTAGTTTATGAGTTACTGCTGTGGCATCTTCAGCAGCCAGTCACCCTGGATTTATGTCCCCACGTGTTCCCTGGTGGGGTTTGGAAGTTCTCCCCAAAGGCCCATGTAACAAAGGTTTGTCTGTCAGCAGGTGGCACTGTGGGACGTAGTAAAACGCTTTGATAGGTGGGGCCTAGTGGAAGGAAGTGAGGTCCTTGGGATCATTCCCTAGTACAACGCTTGGGAAAGCTCAGTAAAATAGATGCTCAACCATTTTTTTCCCTCAAAGGGGTGTGTGTGTGTGTGTGTGTGTGTGTGTGTGTGTGTGTGTGTGTGTGTACACCTGTATGTGTGTGTGTGTTGTGCATGCCATGCATGTGTGTGTACTTGAGGGGGCCAGAAGAAGGTGTTGGATTCCCCAGATACCAGGACCCATTTCCACAGCCATCTTTTTCCCAACCTTTCTGATTGCCATGAGGTGAGCATCCTCTTCCATCACCAGCTCCTGCCATGTTCTTCTGCATTAGCACCAGTCCCAGAGCAACAGGACCAAAGGACTATTGGCTGAAACCAGCACCACTCCAACTTTTAAGTGGATATATAGGATGTTTTTTCACAGCAACAGAAAGCTAATACATCCTGGTTCCACCCAAATAGTCTGAGGCCATGCTGCCTCCACACCTGTAGGTCTAACTAATCCAAACACCTCATAGCCCTTGATTGTTCTAGAAATAGGTATATGAGCCAATTTCTATAAAACAGGCATGAAGAGAAAGCGGCCAGGGCGCCCTGGAAAAACTTCCTCACTCACAGGAGACAGCTCTTTGGTTCCTCAGGGCTTGCTGTATCTGCGTGTTGCCTAGACCTGATAAACATTTCAGACAGGACCAAAGACGGTGCTTATATCCATGGTGGTGGAACACAGACACAGAAGGAACCTGGACCCCTAGTCCTCCCCTTGAGGCCCCGAGCCTACCAACTCTGCAGCCTGCTGTACTTTCAGATCTTTAGTTATGTGAGGGAATAAATCTCCCTGGTGTTCAACCAGCTGGATTCTGGGTTTCTGTTCTCTGCTGCTAAAGCATCCTGTGGAATCATAGGCTAATAATACTACATATCACTATTAATAGTTAACATTAAAACATGCTTGACATTTCACAATCCACTTCCCATTCATTATTTCATTTGATTTCCAAACCACCACCACCACCACCAGAAAGTTCTCCTTTCTACCCCTATTTCAGAGGTGGAGAAGCAAAGACTCATGGGCTTTGGGTGGCTTGCCAGTGCTATTCAGCTGGAAACTGAGAAGCTGGTCTATCTGTGGACACATGGGTCAGCCGGCTCTGTTAGTATTAGCTACTTCCTATTCTGACAATGATGGCTATGATGCTCTAGCATTTTTTGTACCATCTGTTCTGGGATGAGCTGGAATAGATTCTGTTCAAGGGCAAACAGGTCCCGAAAGGGGCTTCCTGCAGGGCTCCAGAGGCATCCAGACATGCTA